TAAGACTGCACCAATTTACCACAATACCAGCTGTAGGCATTATCAAAATTATTTAAAGAATACGCAATAAAAATTAATTACATGTAGCGTTTCCTATGATTCCCCTAAGCGAATTAATCCTTTTTAACTATTAACTTTGCTTTTGAATATATAGCTTATCTTTTTTTTAAATTAATACATAGTACAAAATTTTAACATGTAGCTTATTTTCTTTTATTTCAATTGTACTTCAATTGAATATTAGCAGCATTAAATAAGCTTTTGTATCAGTAATAATATGACTATTAATAATAACCTCAAAAAGTCTAAGTATGTTTTCTCCATTACCTTTCTTCTTAGCAATTAGCTTTTTTTTTAATTTTAATTAATTCATGCTACGAATATTAAAAAAGCTTAGGTATCAAAAATGATATGGCTATTGTTAATAATTTCAAAGGGCACTTTTTCTCCATTACTTTTCTTCTAAACACTTAGCTTTTTTTTTTAATTTTTTTTTATTTACTTAAATAAAAATACGAATATTATGTAAGCTTTGGACTCAATAATAATATGGCTATGGCTATTAATAGTAACTTCAAAGCGGCTAGGTATCTTTTCTCCATCACTTTTCTTCTTAGCACTCAGCTTTTTTTTTTTTTTAACTTCAATTAATTCATATTACGAACATTAAATAAGCTTTGGTATCAAGATATCAATAATATAGCTTAGTAGTGGAAAAGTAGTAATAGAAAAAGTTTCCTTCAATTTAAATTCATTGAAATATTAATACACCATCTTTGCTACTACTTGAAATATATTGTTTGAAACTACGGAAATAATAGTTTGTATAATTCTTATTAAAGCTGCACCAATTTGCCGCAATGCTAGCTGTAGGCATTATCAAAATTATTTAAAGAATACGTAATAAGAATTAATTACATGTAGCGTGTCCTATGATTTCCCTGAGCGAATTAATCCTTTTTAACTATTAACTTTGCTTTTGAATATATAGCTTATCTTTTTTTTTAATTAATACATATTACCAAGTTTTTTTAATCATTGGTGTCAGTAAAAATATAGGCACTTTTTACGGTTCCTCAAAACTAATAAATTTCATTTCTTCATTAACTTAGCAAATATTTTTTTTTTACTCCGATTACTGTATAGGTGTGTACTGATTACTGTATAGGTGATACTGATTACTGTATAGATTACTGTATACTGTATTAGGCATGGTGTCAATAATAGTATGGCTCTTTTCCTAAAAGAGCAAATACATTTGCTAGAGAACATAGCTTACTTTTTATAGTATATAACTTTAATATGGCTTTTTATAGTATATAGCAGTGGTCGGCAAACTTATTAGCCAAAGAGCCAAATATGAACATTACAACAATTTTAAGAAAAATTGGGAGCCAAATCTGCTTGTTTAGTAAACTTTTATTACACTAAATAAGTTGTACACTAAAGCTAAATTTCATACTTAATAAATATTTATTAATGTGAACGATGTGCTTGCCTCTCCTTGGAAAGTTTGATAAAGTCAGGTTTGTATGTTGTTGTTTTTAATTTCAGGCATGATTCCAAGTTCTTATCAATAAGACGACTTCTCAGTTTACTCTTGATAATGTTCATGCTTGAAAAAGATTGTTCGCATATATATGTACAACCGAAAAGAGAAAGAAGAGCAAACGCGTGCAGGAATACTATTCCAAGCGTTGAAAATGATCATGTCTTCTTTCTCCAGGTTATTCAAAGCAGACCACTTGTGAACTAAAATCAGATTTTTTCTTCTCCAATATTTCCAATTCAACAAAAAGACGTTCGAATTTAGAGAGCCGTATCTCCTTGTTTTTTAAATCCAGAACAATATCAGACATACGAACAATTTCAGCCGGTAGCTTGTACATGGTTTGTGTTTACGAAAACTAATAAAATTAAACTCGATGTTCGTTACGTATTTTTACAACAATATAAAATTTTAATTACCTATCTATCTTTTAACTTAAGCAAAAAATTATACATGTTCTCGATTTATAGAAGAATTTTAATTTATTAAAAAAAGATCTCTATCAAGATAAGATTTTCTTACCAAGTTTTTTTTTTAAAATGAAAATATTATTGCGACTTCCGTGGATATTTGTGCCAGAGCCGCTCTTAAGGAGCCAAAGAGCCGCATGTGGCTCTGGAGCCGCACTTTGCCGACCACTGGTATATAGCTTTAATACAGCTTTTTATAGTACATAGCTTTTTTTTAAATCTATTATGCATCTGTTACTTAATATAATTGAAGTTACTTAATTTAATTGAGCATCGTTGGAGCTTATAATTGTAGAGCGATTTTTTACGTTTCTCCTAAATGAATAAGTACTATTTCCAATTACTGTCATCTTAAAATACATAACTATTTTTTTATATTTCAATTACCGTTGATTTTAAATTATTTACTTTTATAAAAACACGTTTTTAAGAAAAGTTTTAAAAATTATGTACACAGAATAACACGTGGTATTAAATAAATTTATAATAAAAATTTAGTAGAATCTGTGCCTTGTAATTTGCCAAAAATAGTTAATAGATGACTTTAACAGAAATTTGGAAATGCGTTGGATTTGAGAACTACTACCGAGGAAAATACGGTGTATTCGGTTGGATTCTTAATATAAATATCGAATTCTCATCAAAAATATTGTAAAAAATGAACGCAATAGAAATAAAACATTAGTATTTATGCGAGGAAGAAGCAGAAACGCTATCGAAATTATTATAATCACTAATGAATAAAACATCATCATCAAAATTGAAAACAACAAAAATAGTTAGATGGGACAATGAGGCTTGTGAATATTCCAAATAATTCAATTCTTGTCTGTTTCCTTTGATAATTAAAGAAATTCCGATTTTTCTGTTCAGCTTTCGTTAGTCGTAATTTATTAGATTTCAATTTTTTTCCCGCTAAAATATTAAGATGAGGTGTTAGATTAAACCCTATTTTTGTTCGAATTGAATCTTTGTATCGAATAATCAAGTTTAATATGTCTAAACTTACCCGAAAGTGGGGTTCAAATTTGCAATGTATTATAGTTCGAGCAAATTCGAATGATAATGGCTCATCACGCTGACAAAATTTTAAGTGCGTAATATTCATTATCTCATATTTATTATTCCGTACTAATTTAAAAATTACAAATTCCTTAATTTTGTATTTTATTTTCTTGGACAATTGTCTTTACCATTTTTCAGAAAAAAAGGAAGAAAAAAACATCTGTAGATCCATGTTTGTAAAGGTCTTTGTAACAAAATGCAAAAAGTCTTATGAATTTTTGATACGATTGTTTTGAATTCTTCTGCAGATTTAAATAATGGTTTTCTCATTTATTTAATATTATTAAGCACATTTTAAAAAATTTATTAGACTAAATGATAATAAGTGTAAAGGCGTGAGAAAGGCGGGAAATGCACGTTGTTTCCTTTTTAAATGGTTTTAGCAGACATGCGTTCTCTTGCAAAGATTCTTAGAATTCAGAAAAGTCTTTTGATGAGGAACAATGAAAGTGTACACATTCTATCTAGGTACTAAAGAATAAATGACACACAATGCGGATTGATATTCATAATTTACTTCCTGAATGCCCATCCTTACAACTGATAAGGAACGCAACAACTGGAAGCCAGAGACCCGCCACTGTTGTGGGTGGTTATGATGAATGCGTTAAACTTTTTGAGTGCAATTAGTTCTTCTAATTTGTGACATGCGCACCTGTGGGGAATATGGATTTGACACTTCTATTATTGCGTTAATCTTGAATGATACGTGCTGGGATAACAGAGCAACTGAAAGCATCATTTACTTTTCAAAGTTTGTTGCTACATCTGATAGAAAAAAAATACATCTGATAGAAATCTCATGGAAAAGAAATCGGGTAAAATTACCGCTCTGCTTTTTAATGATATTTTTGGTAGACAGATAAATGAATAAATAAAAAGAATAATCTTGATGATAAAAATCAACATAGGTATTTAAACCATTAATTTGGCAATTTCTCCATTCATATGGTAACGGTTTGCTAGAAATTTTGGCTTTAAAAATTATAGTCCTTATTACAACACACTTAGTAAAAAATGCAAAACAGAAGAGTAAATTTAACCGAATAAATAGTTTTTATGCCATGCCGTATGGTTATCATAATAAAATTACTAAATGTTTTACCCTTTACTAAATTTTATCATGCATTGCAAAACAATATTTTATTGTTAATTTCACCAAAATCATTACTAAACTGCTTCGGTAAGAAATACCGAAAAATTTCCTAAGGATTTTTCCGAGAGTGTTCCCATAGAGCATAAAATTTCATTATATTCTGGTAGTTTTGGCCGTATATTTTTTCTCACTCTATTTTTTTTTTCTTTTTTTCTTCTTCTTTTTTTCGATTTAACGATTATAAACTATTTAAAGTTATTTCGTTAGAAAAAGTTAGAAACGGGTAGAAAAAGTGCAGCTATTTTAATTAAATTAAAAAAAATTATATTGTATTGAATTCGATAAATATAAAAGAATGCATTATAAAACTCGAATTTAAATGAGTTATCCTACCTGTATCAGCTAAATCGCAACTCTTGAATCTCAAAACTTTCTTATCAATTAAGGGAAAAAATACTTTTAAAGTAGTTACACTTTGTTTGAAAAAAAATTATATATATATATATAGCTTAAAGCGTCGTTTTATTTTAGATATATGTTACCATGAATAGCCTAAATCAAGAGAATGTCGACTATCACCGANTATATATATATATTTGTATATTTCCACAACCGTGCTTAGTGTTAATCCTTTAAAAGTGCCATTACAAAAATTAACATATTTTTTGAATAAAATGTTTAATAAGGTAATACTAAGCAGAAAAATCTTTTTTTTTTCTTCTTTTTTTTTTCTACAATTGATAAAGGTGACATTTTCGTAAAATCTAATCGAAAACTGGTAAAATTTTTCCAAAACTGAAAGAGAGAATAAAAAAAACTGCTATTGTTGAAATATTGTTTGGTTTGTGAAAAATTGCCAGATGTTTGATGATATATTTTAAATTTCAAGATGCTGAATATTCTATTTATTTCGAAATGCTGGCAAGTTGGCCACCAGAGGGAGTAGTTTGGGGAAGGGGTGGGTGAAAGGGGGTATTTGTTCAGGAGTGAGTCCCACCAGAGGATATATTTTGTCGTGTCAGAGGATATATTTTTGTATTGCAACTGTTCTGCTTTTGTAATTTTTTTTCCAACCATGAATTTTCTGATTGAATTAAATGCGAAGATGGCTCCTAAGCATCAACAGGTAAATAACTTGCTTTCATTTAATTTTATTAGTGAGAGATAATTTTTTGAGTAAATTAATATTTAAAACAATGATTTCTTTTAAAAGAAAATTCTTTTACGTTGAAAAAATAAATATGAAAAAATAATCTATACTAACTATTTCGCCATATTTTTAAAATGAAATCTAAATTGTCATGATTTCTTTTTCACATTTTTAGGAAATTATTTAAAGTTGAAATATTTCCTGAGTTTCTTTTAAATATAGATATTTATTAATTAGCTTAATAATAGTTTGCTTGAGTGTTTCAATAACAATATTACGGATAAATGGTAAGGAATATTAATTAGCTTAATAATAGTTCGCTTGAGTGTTTCAATAATAATATTACGCATAAATAGTAAGGAATCCCTCGTATAACGAGACATTTTAAAGCATTTGTTATTTGTTATTCATTTGCTGGCTACAGAAATTGGTGTTCAGATTTACTATATTTTGATGCTTTCACTAGCTCCGAACAACGAGAGAAGGTTGCACCAAAAATGGGATTTTGAAAGAACCTAAAAGCAGCCAAAGGTTGCACTAAAAATAAGTGTTTTGAAAAGAACTAAGGTTTGAGAGAGCGGAGGAAGGTTGCACCATGATTTGGCATTTTTAAAGTGTGTATATTACATAAGACATCTAAAATAAAAATATTTTAATTTTTATAGATTTAAATAGTTAAGTTATAATTTGATTTATATGAATTTGACTTTAACTATCTTCTCTCTTTTTTAAATAATGATGCTAACTTTCTCTGCTTTTTGATGCTTTAAAAATATTTCCTTTCATACCAAGATTCTTTCTTCAAGTTGATATATGTAAGATAAAATTTTTTTAAACATTTCATTCGTTAAAAAAACAACCGATGCTATAGAGTTAGTGCTACAAATGTTTTAAGGAGAATTTTAATTTTGGGCAGAAGCAAATTCTTATTACTCTGTATTTTGATTTTTTTTTATTATTTAGAAATTAAAAAATTGCTTTCACAAGTAAAATTTTATATGAAAGAGCAAGCAAATTTTGTATTGGTCAACCCCCAACTCTAATTAAGGAAACATTCCAAGATTAATTACATCGGCGTATGCATTACATTGTACATACGCCATACATTGGCAATATTAAATTCGAAGTAAATTGAGAAATGTAAAAATAAAGATGTAACTTAGAAATATTAACAAAAATATACAGATACAGATCAGTATTCAAACATAATTTATTCATTTACAATCACTTTGTTTTTTAGTTTATATAAACAGAATATAATAATTTTTATGAAAAATGTTAAAATTTAAATATATTATACTTTTTATACATATCACAGCATTCATTAAAAATACAAAATATTCACTTAAAAATATGATAGATAGCATGTTTTTGTTATTAAGAGAGTACATTCAATTCATGCTTATTTTTAACTTACAGTAATTAAAAAAAAAAAATTTGTTAGCATGTGCCTCAATGTTTAGTTTTAAAATTTGGGATCATATAAAAATAATTTTCAATATTTTAATAAGATACTGAATACTGAATTTCTTGATATACTCTGTCTCGTCTGAATTAAAATTTACAATATAACTAAATTACTTTCTTACAAACGTAATTTACTACTTGATAAAAAGATTAAAATTTAACTCAGTTTGGAAAAAATTACTTTCATTTTTTTACACATTAGTAAATTGTGGTGAGTATTTGACAAAAAGCAATATTTTTATTACATATTCATTATTATATTGATTATTGGAAGTTTTTCTGGTGCTATTATTTTAAGTACATCACATTTTCAGTTTATTGTAAAATACACATAAAAATTTAAAAAGATTACAGGCAAATAAAACTTTGGAGCCTTTCCACAAAATAATAATTGTTTTTTAAAACACAAGTTCTTCCTTCTCTTAACTTGAAACTATATACATTCCTTGTTTGTAAGCTGTTCTTGAAACTAGTACTTTTGAAGTTTAAAAAAGCTGTTTATAACCTTCTAGAATTCCAGTAATTTCGGCAGAATAAATATTTTAATTAGTAGGCTTTTCACTGGTTATAACAATATTTTTTCCTAAGCTTCTTTCTTGATTAAAAGCATAGAAGTTGTTGGTGCTTTTTGCGCTAATGAAAGAAGATTAAAAATAATGTAATTTATGGTACTAAAATATATAGGAATTGAAACAATTTTTCAGAAGAAACAAAATTTGAACCCTTGCATTTTTTAAACATAGAAAGAATAATCAAAGCAAGTCATATTTTAATTACTATTTTTGAAATACAATAGAAAAAAATAGAGAAATTTTCATATGCATGTAGAAACATTTCCCCATCTGAAACATTTTCTCGAAACCAACTATTTATGGGGGGGGGGTTATCTTAAGGGTCTTTTCACCCATAAAGATCTTGAGAAGGAAAGTTTCAATATTTTATAATATTATTATATTTTTGCTGTTCTTAAAATGCGCCTAAGCATCCAAGTAGAATTTCTCCTCACGTTAAATTTTAAATTGAATTTCATGCAGGGCGACCCCGCAAAATATTTGCAGAAGGTACTGTTAAAATATTAATTGAACAATATGATCATCACTTGAATAGATCAAAGAGTTCGTGTTGAGTCTAAGAGGGCGGGATATGGCTACTGATAAACCCAAGAGAAGTATTCATGTGGATGTTATTAAAACTCCTCATGTATATTGTTTGTGAGGATTGTCTTTTTAACTATGGTTCATTTATTTCATAGAAGAAAATATATATCTAGTAATGAAACAAATTTAAAATTAAAGGAAAATTTTTAAAAAGATGTGAAAGACAAAAAAAGATAAAAGTCATGTATGTAAAATATATATGAAGAGCTGATCATTGCATTGTTCTTTTTTTTCCTTCCTTTTTTTTTTTCCTTTTTCATTAATAAAAACGATATTCAGCTTTTGTAAACCAATATTAGTTATCGTTTTTCTTCTTTAAAAATAATGTTGCATGAATTTCAAAGCTTTTTAAGACTTGAATATCGTGACAGAGTTTCACGAGAGGTTAACACTGATATAAATTATAAGCCTATGATTCAGAGAGTCATTTATTTTACGACATTAATAAATATTGGTAATCTTTTTCATAGGACGTTACTTATGATGGAACCACTTTAGGCATCAAACTAGAGATTTCCAGTTCTCAACAGGTAAGTTGCCTTCAACTTATAACACCTTTTTTTTCCCCTTCTAGACACATTAAAAAAGTCCTCATTGCAAGTGCTATCCTTCAAGAAACATTTTATGTGATTTTACATAAATAATGAAAATTTGTTTAAACTAAATTAATCGAACTTCTTCCTTTTTATTTTATTTCTTATATCCGAGATGGGTTTTTTTATTGTCTTTATATTATATATTTGGAGTCATTGATGAGAAATTTATTCTATGTTTTAAAAATCTGACGAATCGATAATGCACTAGAATGCGATATTTTAAACATCAAATCCTGTTTGATTGCCAGTGAATATTGATTGGAATGTGTTACACGAATCTCAGAAATTATTATGAAATTTCATCGGGCAATCAAACTGGTTTTAATTTGTTAAAACCTTATTCAGTGTCCAGAAATAAGGAGAAGATGAAGATCTTTCGAAATTTTCAATATATTTCTTGGGGAATATGAAGTTTAAAGAATTATTTATTAATTCTAACCCTTTTCTAGAGAAAAATCTTAAAATTGCTATTTAATTTTTTAAATTTTTTTTCCATTTTATTTTATTTTTAATTTTTTTTACTTTTAAAGTGAATTTACATGAGTATAAATGAGAGAATCAATATGAGCATAAATGAGTGTATTTATCATTTAAAGATGCATCTCCAGTAAACAAATTTGCGAGTATTATTCTCTCATAAAATTAAATATAATTTAAAATAAATGAAAAATAATTTTAAATTTTTTCTTGAAAAATATATTTGCGAAGTCAAATTATATTATTTCATATGAATAACATTTCAGTTCCTTTTTTGATAATGTTTTTAACGAGAGATATTTTTTTTTTTTTCCTATTTATTTCATCAGTCGAGTTCAACATCTACATTGAATGATTCATCTCCTGAAATCGATTGTGTAAGCATTTTACTCGTGAAATTTTAGATAATAGCACTTTATTGTTATTATTAATTATTATTTTTGTTGTTATTATTAGTTATTAATTATTATAAGTTATTATTATTGCTACTTATTATTATTATTATGAATTATTATTAATCTGGTTCTATTAAATATTATTTTTATTATTCTATTAAGCACTATTATATTTGTTTTTATTATTCCTACTATTATTATTATTACGAATTATTATTAATCTGGTTCTATTAAATATTATTTTTATTATTCTATTAAGCACTATTATATTTGTTTTTATTATTCCTACTCTTTCCTCATTATATATAATAGTGCAACACCTACAGTGTCCGTTTAGTTTTCATTTTTTGGTTTAGATAATAGTATAGTCCTATCATAGTGCAGCACCTACAGTGTCCATTTAGTTTTCAATTTTTTGGTTTATAAACTATGTCATCCGTAAATGGTTACAAAACCATATAGTTCTGTACTCACGTTTTTTTAACCGTACCAAATGCGAACGGTTTGGAAATCGCAAAGGTAAAAAATGTTCTTACCCATTAACTATATGGTTATTCAGATGAACAGACTGTTACCGGTTATTTTACAGTAATTTTGGAATGAAAATTCTTACAACGTATATATTTAGCACTTTTGCATTTTTTTTTCTTTTCTTAGATTACGTAACTCAGGTTACGGTTGACTCAGCCTTTCATCCCTTCAGTGGGTCGATAAATGAGTATCAAGCATGCTTGGGAACTAAACACTGGGGGTTCCGCGTTCGGCAGACCACCTGACCGGAACATCTGCTCCTGCACCCCAGAGCCCAAGGTCAAGAAAACTGAGATGGGCACAGTAGGCCTTGGCCCTCTATGGGCTGTCGCGCCACTGAGTTTAGTTTAGTAGATTACGTAAATAGATTAGTATTTAATTAATTAACTTTTTCGCACTTTTTATGCAAATTAACTAAGAGATACGAAACAAGTTTGTTCACGTGGGATATTAACTTTTCTTTCAAAAATTACTCTCCTCCTTAACTACTCCTTAGTTTATATAAACTACATTTTTTATCGAATGCTATGAGAAAAGACTTTTTTTTTCATAAACTAACCCTTTAAAGATTTCTAATTAGTTGCCTTTTTTCAGAAATCCGAAGTGTTTAAGGATTCATCTCGGAACGTTTCGAAGATTCAGGAAGCTTACGTAAGTATCAACTATTTGAAATATAATTATGTTATTCGATATGGTTGTTGTTAATAAGAGATTAATCCAGTAAGGGAGGTGGGGATGGATGGTGCTTTCTACACTAGGGAGAGCTGCAGGCTCTTTACTGCCTATACTTTCGGGTAAAGTACCTGGTGTATTTTGAGAGCATTTGGCTCACAACATAATCATTGTGCTTTGAGACATTCTTGCNTGTTGCAGTAAACATGACATAGCCATATCCGTGTAAAACTTAAACTCTTTCTTCAAAATTAAACGTTAATTCAAAAGAAAAAAATAAATTTTGAATCAGATGTTGAGGTTAAGAAACCAACGCCATCTTGAAATTTAGGCTAAATTTTTAATTTTTGTTTTCTTGGCATTCTTTTGTGCTTAACATAGTACTTATTATTCGACCTTTCAAAACGGTGTAAAATGAAAGGGTTGCTTTATTGGATTAGAAGAAATAGCGCTTTATAATTTTCAAAACTTTTATAGAACTTTCCACAAAACTTTAAAACAATAAAAATATAAAATTTGTGGTGTTTAGTCTGTAGCTTAAAACTATACAATTGTCGGTTTTTAGATTTTTAGAAAATTAATTTTTTTCACAGTTTAAACAGATTAAAAGCGGCTTGTTGCAGCTGAAAAATTCTTTTAACTTAAATTGTTCAAAGCAAATATATTTATAAAAAATTTTAAAATATATAAGTGTTTATTATTTAACAATTTTTCAACAATTGTTTTACTAAATTTTTGTTTAGAATTTTTCCTCTCCGTCTCTACCTCTTTGACAGTTGAGTTCGATCGACGGTAAAGAGGACTGTTAAGAATATATTTCGATTTTCAATAGGCTATAAAAAAATGAGTTTCACAAACTAAATTCATTTACTTAAAATTTTATCCGTTAAATGATATATATTTATTATCTTGAATTAACAATAACATTGAGTAATTTACTTTATTTTTTATTTTTATGTGCTTATTTAGGAAATTAATCGCATGGAAGGGGATCTTTATAACAGTACAGAAAATTACGTAAGTATTATTTATTTTATATTCTGAAAGACTTACTATTCACTTTATTTTATTTCCTAATTAATTATTAATACGAATATTAACGCATATTTTACAGATTCTAACTGAAATTCAAAAGAAAATGAGGAAATCAGACAAGTATTATGTAAGTATTGTTTCAAAAAACTTTTTTCACGAAATTTTAATATTTAAAATATATTGTCTTGTTTGAAAGTTTTGTTATTATTGTATATATTCCTATTCGGAAAGTGAAATCAAGAACTCAAAGTTTCGAAAATTTCACAACTAGCTAGAGTTCTCAAATCTTTACTTGTCCAGTGACAATGAAAGTTTTAGTCTTCCCGGGCCACTGCAACAACACTGTAAGATATTCGAGATGAAACTATGGCTATAGTTTCAGCACTTTGGATACATCATCCGTAAAATTTTTCTATCACAAGATCCATTTATATCGTAAATTTTACTGTAATATTTATTTTATTACAGTTATTCAGCTATTTTACGATGATTATGGGTGTTAGTAATTACGGATTATCAGATTTTCTTCCATAACCTGTTTCCGCAAAAATGAATGTTACGGTAAAAAGCAGCTTTAATCCAATACATTTTACCGTAATTTGATCCTGAATTTCTTACAGGGAAAACATATCGGCATGATTATCACTAAATAAAATACATACATTAGAAAAAAAAACTTCTTTTAATATCCTGTTTCCGATCAATTGAATGAACTATCAATCAGAAACTTTTTTATTTTTGAAAGTTAGGAAACTGAATCTTCCTACTGTTTTAAAATTTTATCTGGCACAAATACAATTATTTCTTAGTTTTCTTAAAAAAGAAAAAAGAAAAAACATTTTTTTTTAAATTGCTATTTTATTTATTTTGTATTAATTGGTCTATATTTATAAAAATGTTTATCTTTTTATAGGAAGTTTTGAAAGACCCGCTTTATTCAGAGCTGTGCAGAATACGAAATGATCGAGAGGTATCTTTAGTCAATAAATTTTAAAAACAATGCTGCTATTTAGCAAAATTTAGTTATTTTTCTACTTTTCATTTAAAAATGAATAAAATTATATTATTTTACTTTTCCCTATTTTTGGCAATATTGTCATACTTGAGTCACTATTACTGAGGGGCAGAGCGTACGCCTTCAAATGAGGTGACGCGGGTTCGAATCCCATCGATGGCTGTCAATACCAATTCCGCATCCAGCTTGCACCGACCACAGTGCTGACATGAAATATCCTCAGTGTTAGACGGAATGGGTTAGAATTTCTTTGCCGTCAGGCTAACTGTGAAAGCTTCTCGTAGTCTTCGGAGTGGAACATTAGTAGTCGTAAACCTAAAAAGTGGGTCGGCTGTTTGACGGCGGTTATAAAATAAAATTAAATATTGTTATACTTAATGTCTTTCTCTGGAATTAGCATGTAAAAATTCTAATAGAAACGTAAATAATATTTTAACGCGATTTAAATCTTCTATTAAGTTCTAAATATTTCAAAACTTTTCGAATGGATAGTTATGTTTTAGTTTTAACATTCAAAGTTTCTAAATAGAATAAAATCATAAGGCATTTTAAATCCTTTATTAAACTCTATGTAATTCAATATTAATATATTTTTAGAATAATATTGAACTGAATTAATTTGAATCTTTTATTCAACTCTAAATACTTCAATATTTTTCGAATTGAGCGAGATATTTTATTTTTTGTATGAACATTTTTTTATTATTTTTTGTTTTGAAAGTGCCGATTATCATCTGATAAATATTTTTTCTTTATTTAGAAACTAGTAATGGAACAAGAAGCTCTTTTAAAGAAGTTAACGGATACTGAGATGCCCACCAAGTCGGTAAGTTTAAAATATATTGTTGACATAATTTTCTCTTATTTATTTAATTGAAATGAGCCCCAAGTGCGAAGGTTCAAACGTATTTCTAATGATTTTTTCAATTATTCCCAACACATATTTAATCAAAGATTTTTAGACTATGTGATATATTTAGATGAATATCTAATATTCACTAATAATATATAGTGAATATTAGATATATTCACTATATATTATAGAGATTAGAATTTCCTGCATCATACGTAATCTATTTACTCATGAAAATTTTTCTTTTTTTAGGAAGAAGTTGAGGAAGAGGGAGATTTTAGGAAAGAGATGAAGAATGCAGAAAAGTCTGAAAAATCGGCAAGTAGTAAAATTTATTTATTTCCAGTTAGCTTTGAATTCTATAATTACTTATTTCATATTTTTCTTCACGTAAGCTATCTCATGTAAATGTATTATTTATTTATTTATTTCAGAAATTTGTTAAAACACCGGAAGTTTTAGTTCTGAATGGTGAATCATATGCTGAACAGGCACTAAAATCGGTAAGTTAAAAAAAAAGTCCCTCATATTTTATAGTGTAAAGAGGCATAAGATTTTTGTATATTTTTATAGTTCGGTTTTATAAGAATTGTCAAAAGAATATAAGAATTGTCAATTTATAAGAATTTCATAAGAATTGTCAATCCCATTATCAATTTTATAAGAATTGTCAATTTTCAAACTAAATTTAACATGATAACATTATTGACAATGAATTGGTCAACAAGTATTTAAAAAATTGTACCTCATATTGAAAACTTGATAAGTTTAATATAAGTCTAAAAGAGTAAAACAAAATGCACCTTTAGAGCCTAAAACTTAAGTTCAACAAGCTGTCTATTTATTAAACAAGGATACATTTTATTTAACTCTTTGATAGGTTGATTTTCCATCGGACGAAGTGATTTTAGATTTTATGGATGTTGGCATGGAAATCGAGGTAACCAGCAATGAGAAGGTGAGCATCATTTCTCTCTCTTTTTAAGCATTTTTTAAAGATCCTTTGTGCTTAAGATGTCTTGCTCGGAATGTTTAATTTTAAATAATGAACTAAAAGCTATTTCAGAACAATTACTATTTAAATATTTTAGCGTTTATTTTTTATCTGATCAAGTTTTAAGTGAAACTGATTATGTTTAGAAAATACAATTTAGCAATTAAGATGTGTATTTCAAATAATAATAATAGAAAAGACTTATCCATTTTGTTTATACATGCAAGATGTTTCTTGATCTTTATTACATACTTTAAGAACACCTGTCACAGCGTTAAAAACGCATTGGAGTGACAAATTTAAAAAAAAATGTGTTTTAATACTGATGATAAAATGTTAATATGTATATAAAAAAATATAAATATGTTAATAATATGTATTAACTTTTCTTTTTTTTAGAAATTTGCTGAAAAACCGGAAGTATTTGAGCTGACCAGCCGACCAAATGCTGAACAGTCGACCAAATCGGTAAATTATAAAAATTATTTCATATTTTTTAATGTAAGTGCATGAGATGATTATATAATTTTTTATAGTTACGTTTTGGTTTTGTAAGAATTGTCAAAAGATATCTGTATAGAACTGAATTTAAAATGATAACATTACTGTACATAAATTTAAAGAGAATCTGATTGTGTTTGGAAAGTACAATTCAGCAATTAAGACATGCATTTCAAATAATAATGATAGAAAAGACTTATCCATTTTGTTTTTACATGCAAGATAGTCCTTGGTCTTTATTACATACTTTAAGAACACCCGTCACAGCGTTAAAGACGCATTGAAGTCACAAATTTTTAAAAAAAAAAAAAGTTTTTAAATACTGATAATGAAATGTAAATATGAATATAAAAAAATATAAATATGTTAATAATGTGTATTAAATTTATTTATTTTTTTTAGAAATTTGCTGAAAAACCGGAAGTATTTGAGCTGACCAGCCAACCAAATGCTGAAGAGTCGACCAAATTGGTAAGTTCAAAAAATTATTTCATATTTTATGATGCAAGTGCATGAGATGATTATATAATTTTCTATAGTTATGTTTTGGTTTTATAAGAATTGTCAAAAGATAACTGAATAGAACTGAATTTAAAATTATAACATTACTGTTCATAAATTTAAAGTGAATCTGATTGTGTTTGGAAAGTACTATTCAGCAAGTAAGACATGCATTTCAAATAATAATGATAGAAAAGATTTATCCATTTTGTTTTTACATGCAAGATAGTCCTTGATCTTTACTACATACTTTAAGAACATCTGTCACAGCGTTAAAGACGCATTGAAGTCACAAATTTAAAAAAAATGTGCTTTAATACTGATGATAAAATGTAAATATGTACATAAAATAATATAAATATGTTAATAATGTGCATTAATTTTTTTTTTTAGAAATTTGCTGAAAAACCGGAAGTATTTGAGCTGACCAGCCAACCAAATGCTGAAGAGTCGACTAAATCGGTAAGTTAAAAAAATTATTTCATATTTTTTAATGTAAGTGCATGAGATGATTATATAATTTTTTATAGTTAGGTTTTGGTTTTGTAAGAATTGTCAAAAGATAACTGTATAGAACTGAATTTAAAATGATAACATTACTGTACATAAATTTAAAGAGAATCTGATTGTGTTTGGAAAGTACAATTCAGCAATTAAGACATGCATTTCAAATAATAATGATAGAAAAGACTTATCCATTTTGTTTTTACATGCAAGATAGTCCTTGATCTTTATTACATACTTTAAGAACATCTGTCACAGCGTTAAAGACGCATTGAAGTCACAAATTTAAAAAAAATGTGCTTTAATACTGATGATAAAATGTAAATATGTACATAAAATAATATAAATATGTTAATAATGTGTATTAATTTTTTTTTTTAGAAATTTGCTGAAAAACCGGAAGTATTTGAGCTGACCAGCCAACCAAATGCTGAAGAGTCGACTAAATCGGTAAGTTAAAAAAAATTATTTCATATTTTTTAATGTAAGTGTATGAGATGATTATATAATTTTTTATAGTTAGGTTTTGGTTTTGTAAGAATTGTCAAAAGATAACTGTATAGAACTGAATTTAAAATGATAACATTACTGACAGAAGAATTGGTTTAGTAGATTAGCAAATATTCCTAGTTAATATTAAAAAATCAATGATTAATAAAAAAAATTTAATGCTTGTTATTAGCTCAACAAGTATTAATTTTTTTTTTTACCTCATATTGAAAAAGATATATTTTTAACTGATTTAAGTGAGATATAGATAATTTCATGCAGCAGTTTTTCACCATTGTATATGTTTAGGTGTATATGAATACATGTGTGTGCATAGTAAATTCAAAATCAATGTTTTATTTTATTGATGCTATGGTAATTACCTGTAACCATCATTAAGAAACTTTTAAAAAAATCATTCTTACACAACAACTTACACTCGATTTTCTTGTTTTTGATAAATTAATACTGATTTCTATCAAGTAATAAATAATTTTGTTAAGATGCTCTAGCAAACTTAATAAAAATAGGAAACAAATGTTTCGTTTTTTCTGCTGCAGAGGATATTTTTAACAGGTCTTGTATACCTTCGCATCGCTTATTTAATTAAGACATGCATTTCAAATAATAATATTAGAAAAGACTTATCCATTTTGTTTTTACATGCAAGATAGTCCTTGATCTTTATTACATACTTTAAAAACACCTGTCACAGCGTTAAAGACGTATTGGAGTCACAAATTTTTAAAAAAAATGTTTTAATACTGATGATAAAATGTAAATATGTATATAAAAAAATATAAATAAGTTAATAATATGTTTTAACTTTCTTTTTTTTTTAGAAATTTGCTGAAAAACCGGAAGTATTTGAGCTGACCAGCCAACCAAATGCTGAAGAGTCGACTAAATCGGTAAGTTAAAAAAATTATTTCATATTTTTTAATGTAAGTGCATGAGATGATTATATAATTTTTTATAGTTAGGTTTTGGTTTTGTAAGAATTGTCAAAAGATAACTGTATAGAACTGAATTTAAAATGATAACATTACTGTACATAAATTTAAAGAGAATCTGATTGTGTTTGGAAAGTACAATTCAGCAATTAAGACATGCATTTCAAATAATAATGATAGAAAAGACTTATCCATTTTGTTTTTACATGCAAGATAGTCCTTGATCTTTACTACATACTTTAAGAACATCTGTCACAGCGTTAAAGACGCATTGAAGTCACAAATTTAAAAAAAATGTGCTTTAATACTGATGATAAAATGTAAATATGTACATAAAATAATATAAATATGTTAATAATGTGTATTAACTTTTTTTTTTTAGAAATTTGCTGAAAAACCGGAAGTAGTTGAGCTGACCAGCCAACCAAATGCTGAACAGTCGACCAAATCGGTAAGTTAAAAAAATTATTTCATATTTTTTAATGTAAGTGCATGACATGATTATATAATTTTTTATAGTTACGATTATGTTTTGGTTTTGTAAGAATTGTCAAAAGATAACAGTATAGAACTGAATTTAAAATGATAACATTACTGACAATGAATTGGTTTAGTAGATTAGCAAATATATTTATAGCGTGATAAATATTGAAAAATCAATGATTAATAAAAAAAATTTTAATACTTGTTTTTAGCTCAACAAGTATTAAAATTTTTTTTACCTCATATTGAAAAACATATATTTTTCAATGATTTAAGTGAAATATAGATAATTTCAAGCAACAGTGTTTCACCACTGTATATATTTAAGTGTATATGAATATATGTGTGTGCATAGTAAATTCAAAATCTATATTTCATTTTATTGATGCTATGGTAATTACCTATACCTATCATTAAGCAACAGTTTATTTTTAAAAAAAATCATTCTTGCACAACATATACACTCGATTTTCTTGTTTTTGATAATTTAATACTGACTTTCTATCAAATAATAAATAATTTTGTTAAGAAACTCAAGCAAACTTTTTTCTTAATAATAAAAGGAAACAAATGTTTCGTTTTTTCAGTTGCAGCAGATTTATTTAAAACATCTTGTATTCCTTCGCATCGCTTATTTTAAATCGGCAATCGGTACATTTTTTTTCTTACACACATCGGTACAGACTACATTTTAGTCTATGTTTTGTCGTAATGTTCAAGTTTTAAAGCATTATATGTAACAAGTGTTTATATGAATTTCTAGGAGGTTTAGGGCCCATTATCAGGATTAAAATTACATAATACAAACACATGCCCGGAAATGTCATCATGTGCAGCTAGGGGCGATTTCTCTAATATGTGACGTTTCCTCGTATGCTTCTGAACAGATAATAATAGGGGTTGCGCCTTTCGCCGTACACCATCATCGTTTTCGGGAATGGGCTTTTATTCAGTTTTTATCCTGATAGCACTCCCGGAAGTTTGCTGAACATTTATGTGACTCCATGTTAATTGCAACGTTTTCAATTTTGTACACGTCGACAAAAGTAGGCTAAAAATATCATTAAAAAGTATACGTTTCGAAGCAAATCTAATTTCAAATTAGGAAACCCAACACCAAAATTAGTCAAGATGAAGTATTTGCTTAAATGGTAAAAAAAAATTAGTTCCCTAGAGTAATTCATTTAAAACTTCTTTCTTGAAAATATATTAAAATATTTTACACATAAAAATTTAAATACTTTTAAAAAATAATTATAATACTTTTTAAAATAAATATCTATACTTTTGATCTTACTTTTTAAAATCCAGTTTCAATAATACCTTGAAGATATTTGGAAAAAAAAATGTTTTTCATTTAAAATTACTTTTTCTTTGAAAAAAATCTTGTATAATTCTCACTTAACATTTGTTTTTCTTTCAGGTTAGTAAACGTCAACGTAAAAGAAAGCGGGCAGATGAAAAAGAAAACGTAAGACATTATTTTTTAATTATTCAGTTAATTATTTTATGAAATCAACAGCGCATTCAATTGTTTCAGGTATTCATTTTATTTAGTTACATTAACTTTAATTTTAAAATAGTTTTGTCTCTACTTGACAGTTCCTAGGATAAATTAAAGTTTTCAAGCAATAAAGAGGATTGTTTATAAATTTTCTTAGTTTTATGAGAATGACCAGACATTCATTTGTACTTAGAAGTGTCCTTTCGTACTAAATTAGCACAACTCGTTCTCGAAATAAATAGGCATACAGTACGAAATAGATGATGCTTTCCTTCTAAAAACAACTTTAACAACTTTTTTCTAGAATAGTTTTATAAGGGAATTTGTAAATTTATTACTCATTTTTTATTACCAAATTAATGGAGAAAGTAAAATCGGAAGGAAAATTATGCATACAAAATATTTAGTTATGCATAAATTTGTTATTCAATGTTATTAACTAAAAACTCAACGGGAAGTTTTCCATAAGGAGAGGGAAAAAATCCGCAACGATATAAGCAATTTTAAAAAAAATCATAATTTTTATATATTCTTTTCTTAATTTTCATTTTTATTTTTCAATCACCGCATTTCTCTCTCTATATAGTTCTGAAAATAAAATCTTATTCTAATACTATTACTAAATTAATATCTATTGCTAAATGATTATTACGTTGAGATCTACCTTTTGAACTACTATGATTACTTTTGACAAATAAAAATTCAATAATTGAAAAAAAAATTAAAGTTTTTAATTTTCTTGTTTACAGAAAAGAAAAGAAAAAAAGTATACCAATGTTTTTTTTTTTTTTTTTTTTTTTTTTTTTTTTTNTATGATCAAATTGAAGAAAATAATTCTTTACTTTGAGTAATTCTGAAGATAAATAATGGATTTTTTTTTCTAGGATTTTGAATCATATTTTGTCTCTATTTCCGAGCGGACTAAATTTCACAAGAGAAGTTGCCGAAAATGAGTAAGTTGATTTTTTGCTTAATGTATTAATACTATTCTTTTTTTTTTCTGTTTTCATATTTTTTGTAATCAAGACATTTCATGTCAAACTGTTAGCCATATAAGTACTAATTAATAAATTATAAGTACTAATTAATAAATTATAACACATTTTATGTAAGAGCATTCTTAAAAATTACAAAATGTTAATTTTGAGAAGAATATATTTGAATAAAAAAAAAGCTATTTTAGAGTAAAATATATTCAGAGATATCTAGTAATGAAAAAAATATGGTAGTGAGTCTTAAGTGACAATACACCATTTTTAAAATAAAAATTTAAAAATTTATGAAACATAAATAATGCTGCAAAATATTTTCTCTTAAGTCTTAAATTTAGTCATACAGGTGAATGGTTGGGTGCCAATTGTACAAGCATATTCCTCTTGCGCCAAACGCGTTGCTAGTTAGCTCACAGGTACAGATTTCTGCGTAATTAAGTGTGTATAATGTCAAGTACGAAGACAGCAAAATGTTTTCATCAAAGTTTTAAATAAATTACTGTATTGCTCCCTTATTCTATGTACAATTCGCAAAATTAGTAACAGGACACCCAGAAAACCTTTGTTCCAGTGATTGAATTTTCGCGAAAAACAATGTAAATGGATTAAAAGGTTCACATTGGTTACTCGAATTAAATTTGGTGAATAATATGGTGAAGAAAATGAAATGTAACACAAAAAAGCACTTTATCTTAATAAATAGGCTTCCTTTTTGTTGAAATCTTTGGATTTTAGAACCGACAAAAATATAAGAGGGGGGAGAGATCAGCAATTTGAAAATATATGGTCTTCTCACTAGTTTGGCTAGGAGACTGATTGTTAACCTATCTTTTAACTTATTTTACCATCTCTCTAGAATTAGTAATATGATTTTCGAATATTTTCCACACGAATGTCAAACTTGTTCAACCAAAGACAATTGTACTGAAAAAATTAGGTCAAAAACTTTTTGAACTCTTTAATGACAAAGTCGAAAATATGAAAGAAGTTGGTCGAATGGTCCTTGAGAACTAAAACTTATAGTACGCCCTGTTAATGAAGGTGAAATTCTGAAAATGTAATATTAATGTTAAGGGGTCCAAAAATTTGACCTGTCATCTAACCAAATTCCTGAAATCAAAATTGGACGAAAAAAAGGCATTTTATTCAAATGAATTACATTTTTGGGACTAACACTCTTAACTTTAAAATTTGCATTAATTTTCGAAAATAATTTAAAGGACTTTTCGAAATAGTTTAATTTATGTGCATCTATTCCAATCTGGGAATGGTGTCCATACCAAAACAGTATCTCGACTTATGTGATGGTCCTCCAATTGAAAGTTAAAGGGTGGGAAAAGGTTTCTGTTCAGAAACTTTGTGCCAGATAAGTTTCTGAAATTCTTTTTTACAAAACTCACGTGTATAAAATATTGTTGATCACGTAAGATTTTAATGTTTTTCTACATTATTTATTGCACAAATAAATTAAAACTNGTGGGAAAAGGTTTCTGTTCAGAAACTTTGTGCCAGATAAGTTTCTGAAATTCTTTTTTACAAAACTCACGTGTATAAAATATTGTTGATCACGCAAGATTTTAATATTTTTCTACATTATTTATTGCACAAATAAATTGAAACTTGTTCCTAAAACCTCGCTAATTGTTGAAATAAACCTCTCTAAAAATTAAGGTGTCAAGTTGTATTTAATTTTTATTTCTAATTTTTTACTTGTTTATTTTCAGATTTTGATTGCAAGATCAGCAACAAAATACTTACATCATAGACAAAAAAATGGGAAAAGAAGGATTAAGATAGAAAAAGAAATTTCGATTTTTGGATTCAGTGAAAAAAAAAAATTTTTTTTTTAATTATGTGACAAGAGCTTTTGTGAAAATATTGCTTAATTATACACTAAGCATTTTACTTGTAAATGATTATATGTTATTATTATTATTAAAATGATTTCACTATTTCATTTTTAATATTTTCATGCTCATCCTATTCAATGTTCATTTAATCACAGTTACAATGGGAAGAAAACGACAAAAATTATATGTAAATTTGAAAGAGTTTTGAATTTTATTTTAATAAAATTTTTTGTATTTTATTGTTTGTGTAAAGTGTGTCATACTTTTTTTTCTTTTTTGTCTCACTTAGATTCTGATTTTTATTAAAAATCCTTATAAATGTTTTGGAAATACTAAAAAATTGGCAAAGGTAAAAATCTATAATTCTCTAAATATGGTATGTTTAGATTTTCATTTAAGATACTCTGTATAATTATAGTTATCAATTTAAGAATACAAACAACACCTTAGCATTTCATACAAGCATCTCCCTAGAATTTTAAATCTTATAAAACTTATCCATGATCCAAACTTATTATAATTAAGGGGGGGAATTAAAATTATCTTTTGCTTTAGTTAGGCTATTATTTTTAACTCTACTAATATTGTACTACTAAATTAGAATCTTGTTGATTCATTGTTGATAGAATTAAAATTTGATGCAATCTTTGATAGTAATTTGAACCACATTATTGTATTTCCGAAAATTGAATGCGATATTTTAGTTCACCTTAACAGAAACAGTATCAAATAAATTTTATTGATGAGAAGAATAAAAATTAAAATCTTAACATACAATCAATATATAAAAAATAATAGGGCAAATCTATTGTTACGTGTGTTACTTTTACTCGACATATTGTCCAGAGGAAGGATAAAAACAGGGAAAAAGAGCCTATAGTTATTTAAAAATTATTAGGGAGAGAACAATTATCAAAGTGACAAAAAGTCGAGGTGCTCCTCAGCAAAAGCTACGTAAAAATATTCATTGCCATCAAAAATTCAAAAAACTAAATATTTCTGCACGGTTAAGTTTTAAGTTAACTTTTTCTCTCTCAAAAAAATAAATACATAAATAAAAAGTAGTGCATATATATATCAGCAATTTTGTTAACTTTTTTTTATTGCATACTTTACGCAATTATGAAACTAGAAGAAATACGTTCTCTTAGCAGATTGAATAAAAAATCCCTCAGGAAAAGTAAGTAAAAGCTCTTCAGATATCTAGAAAATCCTTTCATAAAATTTTTTTCTCTTTGAAGTAAATACTAAGAAGAGAAAAATCAAATGAGTGAAAAAAATTATTAGAATTAATTGATTTTGTCTCTTTAATTGATAGTTTTAATTAACGTTTAATTAGAGAATATATTATCTCTTCAGTAAGAAAAATCCTACATATGAGGATTTTCTTCATGAGAGAACATCGGGCAGATAAAAACAATCTATCACAAACAGATATTTTTTTCCTCTTTTAAATATGAATATATATTATAAATGTTAATTCTGTAAGCTTACGAAGTTTTTAGAAAGTGAAGCATTGCAATTCATGACTTAGAAAGCTACAAAAAGAAAAAAAGAGGAGAATAAATGATGAAAAAAGAAGGAAAGAAAAAAAAATAAAGCAGCACAAACTGAGTGAGCTTATTGGTGTATTAAAGAAATATGTGCGTTAACAATCCTCTTAGTGTAGTTGTGTCAATACTATTGCAAAACAATATAAACACTAACTAAAATTATCAATATAATTCGATAGTAAACATATAAAATAATTAATTAAATAGCATTTCAATAAATAATGTAATTTATGAAATTAATTTCTTATAAATTTATAGTTTTCATTAATTTATATAACAAATCATCATAAAATCAATGAAAATAAAATTATAAGCCAGTCAAAAGAGATACTTTTAATCTCTTGATAAGAGAAGATTAAGCCTTGCAGATAATCCCTTCCTCCCTGATTAATCCTCTCTTAAATAGATTTTTACATGAAACTTTATGAATGGTTTACTTTACTTTACGAATAATAGAACTTAATACTTTAACTTTAGGAATAGCCTTGAAATAAATTTGCAAAATTCCTAAGTACCTATTCTCTTTTTTATTATTGTATTAATTATTTTTGATTAGTGGTAGGAAAATGCAGAAGAACCTGAAATTCACGTTATTTTGTGTTTTGGAACCAAACAATAGACTAATGAATAAACCGCACTTTGTTTAAATGTTGATAATAATAATAATACTTTAAAAATATCGACTCATGATAAAATATTTAGCTCTTTAAAACACCAAATTGATTTAATGAATATCAAACAATTCTAAGAATTTGACTAAGAACTGACAACGAAGCTAATAGGTGTTCACGCACAAAATTAACAAAGGAAACGCATGTGAACTTTTATAGGGAGGATATTTGGGGGGGGGGAGTCCAGTTCATACGCATACTTTCTACGGACATGAACTTATTTCAACGCAAAATAATTCTTACTTCAAATTTATTCTGTTTCTTTCCTAAGTATTTCTATTTATTTTGATGAATTTTACTATGAAGTAAACTAGCCAAATAAAATTAATAAGCAAATTTTACTAGGAAGTAAACTAGCCAAATAAAATTAATGAGTAAAATTCGTAAAAAAATTAAAAAATCTAAATTTATGAAATTAATTAGTTTATTCACTCTTCTCCGAACTATATTCTACTAGTTTGAAATATAAGTATAATTGCAAAATTACAACAATACCTAAAGATAAATAAATAAAAATAAAAAAATAAAAAAAAGGAATTGAAATTTGGGGGAAAAGGTTTGCTAAGGACTTCCTTCCCTCGGGCATTTTCGGAACCTACTTTCAAAAATTTTTAAACTGAACAATTGCATTATTATAAATTTTTATTATAAATTCCTATTCTTATTATGAATATAATTGAAAAATGAAATGTAAAATATCTAGATGTTTTGAATCAAATATGTTATTTGCATGGATTTTGTATTTCTAGGAAACTAGTTTAGTTAGAATACATTTTTATTTCACTTAGAAGTTAAATTAACAAAAAAAGATTAAATGTTTTAAGTCAAATGCGATTTTTAGAAAAAAAATAATATTAATGAGTAAATAAATATACAGGAATCATAGTTCACATTGGACACGCTTTCATTTGTTATTGCTATTTATTTATTTTAACGTTTTGCAATGTTTTGCTTTTACAAATTTTTTACAAATTTTCATGAAGTGGTTTTTGAGTAATCACATCTCACCTATAAATTATAGATAGCAAGTAATATCGATTAAATAAAAGTCCAAAACCAAATTCTAGCTGATTAATCTTATTCCTATATATTTTATGTAGCTTCACTGATTCACACTGAGCACTCTAATTTCTAATTGCTTTTTATTTATTTTAAAACTTTGCAATGTCTTTTTTTTCTCAACGTTAAATTGTTTACATATTAATGCTTATTTTCCAGAAATTTGCAAATTTTTATGCCGTGGCTTTAGAGTAATCACCACTCTCCTATGAATAGTAGAAGGCATATAATATCGATCAAATGAAAATCCAAAACCTCATTCTTGCTGATTAATCTTAATCCAATATATTTTATGTAGCTTCACTGATTCACACTGGACACTCTAATTTCGAATTGCTTTTTATTTAATTTAAAGCTTTGCATTGCTTATTTTTCTCAACGTTAAATTGTTTACATATTAATGCTTTTTTTTTCCAGAAATTTACAAATTTTTATGCCGTGGCTTTAGAGTAATCACCACTCTCCTATGAATAGTAGATTGCGCGTTATATTGATTAAATAAAAATTCATAGTGGAAACCCCATTCTTGCTGATTAAACTTTCTCTAATATATTTTCAGTAGCTTTACTGACTCACTCAGGACACTTTCATTATTAACTACTATTTACTTATTTTAACGTTTTAAAATATTTTGCTTTTCTCAACGTTAAATTGTTCACTTTTAAATGCTTTATTCATTCATTATGCATGCATATTTATAATTTTAAAAAAGATAATTGCATATCAAATCTCGTAGAAAAATATTAATTACCAACTTGAAGGCCTTAGTTATCAAATATTGAAGAAATTACAGTTAGCAGTAACTAGTAATTTTAATAATAAATATGTTTATTCTTATTGACATTATTCAAACAAAAATTTGATTTGATTTTAATCAGCTCTAACATAACGCTTTTTTTTAAATAAATTTTTAAAATTTTTCTTCCTTTTTCTTTTCTTTTTTTAAACACAATTCTTTTAATTCTCCAACTTCAATTTTTATCTTTGAAATGAAAATGTAAACATCGATTAAAAATTATTTTAAAAAAAAGTATAGAGAAATCTGCTAAAATATTAAGAAACACAAATGACGCGTTTGAGCAATCGAGGTTAAGACCTTTAAGTTGAAAATAAACTTTGATTAAAAAAAGAACATTTCTAGCGATTTCCTCTGTTACTTAACCCTTTAAAAGGAAACCCGTTAAAAACCTCTTTTCACACTACCTATAATAAAGCTTCATAATTTTTTTGCAGTTTTAATAGTTATCAAGTATACTAATATTATTCATTATATCTATATTGCTATATTTGGTACCTGTTAAAAGTGCACCATATGCCATAAATTATTTAAGGGTGCCAAAATTAATTAAGCCTCACTGGTGTCAGTGGTGATATTTTCCATCTGTCCTAAGCGAATTAGTGCCATTTCTCTACCAACTTTGCTTAATAGAACTTAATATGTAGCTTTTATTTTATTTCAGATTACCAAAGTATCATTGTTCACTATTGATCATCATATATCGCCAATTGTCAAGTATCATTGGCGTCAATAAAAGTTAGATCAATTTTTGCGCATTTTTCATATGGATTAGTACCATTTCTTCAAAGTATCAATAACGTCAATGATATTATGGCGATTTTTAGCGCTTTTCTTAAATAACCTAGTACCACCTGTCAATTTATTTTGCTTCATAGTACAAAGCCTATTTTTTCTTTTCTGTTAGCACGTATTATCAAAATCAATTAAGCATCATGGACTTACATAAAAGTTTAATTTTTTACGTTTCTCTTAAACGAAATTGTTTCATTTTACGTTAGTTTTTCATTTCAATTGGTACACATTTCCAAGGCTAATTCAGCTTCAATTGCGTTCAATAAAATATTGGAGCATTTTCACCGTTTCCTTGA